TAATGTGTGTGAGTCATGTTTTTTTTTTTTTTTTTTTTTACTTCATATATGATATTTTTTGTAGGTGTGAATTTGTTTTTAAACATGGAGAGAAACGTTTACTGATGATTGAGTTGAGGTCATTGAGGAAGGGTGAATGTCTAGAAACTGGTGTTTTGGATACTTGGGCTTTAATTCTAAATAGCATGGAGACCTACACCTTTAAGTATCCTAATAAAAGAAGATTCTTTTTCTCAACAACACCAGTTGTAAGTTATTTTATTATTGATTTACAATTTCATGCACATTAACAAATGTCTTGGAGCACATACTGCATTGCTGACAAGATTATCATACTCCTGTAGGCATCTTCTATTGTGTATAAACCACCTGCATACAGTAATGATCAACTGTATGAAAAGTCTCAAGAAAGTATTAATCATGACATTGACATTGCTACTCGTGACCCTACAAACTATCGTTTGGTAAATTAAATTCTACATACTTACATTACATTTGAATTTATAACTTCTCCGAACTAACATGTACAAAATGCAGTTCTTTTTCCCAGTCATTGCAACTGATCAAATATATGTCATCTGCATTGATTTGGATGTTTATCACACATCCATACACATACTTGACAACTCTTCTGCTGATGATGCTGATATTGCCAAATATGGTGATATACCATTTCTTTTGGTGAGTACTAAATCACACATATTAAAACATTTTATGAAGTGTAGTTTTTTCTGTTTTTAATGCTTTTCTATTTATCTGCAGAAAGACTACTTTGTGAGATATTTGAACCAAAGGGATTCATACAGTGCTACAAACAGACTAAAAAAAAATTACACCTCAGCGAATGCTAATGCAATGGAGTGATACCGAGAAGAAAGACGATTCTGGAGTATTTACAATGTGCATCATGCAAACATACATGGGAGATGACAGCATTAAAAATAAACAATCAGATCTTGCAGACCTCAGGGTCAAATACATAACAGCAATTTTAACTGATGAAATCAATGAACTATCTCGAAAAAAAACATGCAAAATGCTGGTATTAAAGACGAAAAATTGTGAATATTTTTTAGTGTTAAAGGTTTTATGACATTACAGTAGTTCAGCATCTTGATATAAACTCCTTTGATTTTCAAACACATTAATATATATTTTCACGCAAATTATATGTGGCATGGATGCATATTAAAAATCACCTTATTAATTAATACAATTGATAATCATAATATGAATCCACTTAGCATTGAACATGCTTTTTAAAAAATTTAATGTGCGTTCATTTTCGTCATAAATAAGTAATTGAAATAAAATAAAGAAAAAAAATAAACATGAAAACTCTTAACATGTTTATAAACCAAAGTTAATATGTGTTGATATTCGGTATTAAAAATTACATTACAATTTGCGTAAGTTCATATCTTACTATGCGTTCATTTGCATAATAAAATAACATGGAAAATAATAATTATTAAAAACAAATAAAAAAAAAAGAATACAAATTCAAATAAATTAATGTGCGTTCAAATTCACCATTAAATGCGAGTTATTAAAGTACAACATGCGGGACCTCAAATCTTGATGTGCGTTCAGTTGAGTACCAATTAAAATAAATCATCTATCTCTCATAACTCTTTAATATGCGTCTCATATCCCTTTAATATGCGTGCCAGATCTATTTAATATGCGTCTCATATATGTTTAATATGCGTCTCATATATGTTTAATATGCTTCTCATATATCTTTAATGAGCATCGGTCCGTCTAACACTTACTATGCGTGCACGTATTACGCAGTGTGCTTCAAAAATATAACTTAACGTGCTCCATTTTCATAACCAAATAAACAAGATCAGTTTTCTGAGATGAAAAAAGAACAAATGTAGATCCACGACAAATAAATACTATATAGCGACAGAGAATGGAAAAAGATTTGGAAACACCAACAATGGACACTGCAATGCTAAACGACCGAGAGAAGATAGACAACTGAACGATTCTTTGAAAAACAAAAACAAAGTCGTCGGCAATGCGAACGACGATGGAGAACAGCGATGAAAGTTAATTTATTCAAAATTACTAATTTGTCCCTCCGTACGCGAATACAATAAAAATACGCGAATTTAGATCTTTGAGATCAACGATGAAGATATTTTAACATATTAAAAACGAACGGCAGCCTTACAACCGCACATCCGCACCTAATAGTGCTAAGCGCACCAGAACCCGAACCTCTATATATATATATATATATATATATATATATATATATATATATATATATATATATATATATATATATATACTATTTTGTCAACTTCACGAGATAAGTTTTACCGGTTAAAAATGTCAAGTTACCATTAGTAAACAATATTGAATTTTCATGCCATTTATTTTTATCTCAGTCAATTATTATTTTGTTGTCACCCAACTTACCAAAATAAACAAAATTAATGGATTCAATATGGATATTCATAAGATATTCATTCAACTTAGGATATCCCCTTCCTTATAAAAAAAAAAAAAAAAAAAAAAGAAAAAGATATTCATTTAATTCCAATTAAAAACATAACATTCTGCCACATTTTAACCCTCACGGGCTGTTTGAGTGGTGCAGCCCTGGAGGCGCGGAGGTGGTCCGGCGTGGCGCCGCCGGCGTCCGCGGAGCAGTTTCCGGTGACGGTTACATCGCCGGAAAAATCAAAATCGACAGCCTGGTCCAATCTGGTCTCGCGAGACCAAATCAGGCATCAGTTTGGTGAACAGCAGGCAGATAGGAAGCCAATCCACGATCTGTTCCCGAAAATTTGTTCTGATGGCAACGAGAGTCTACCTCGCGATGATGCGAATGTGAAATTTAAGAAGAATTGTCCAGTTGTAACAATTTCAAAGATGGATTGGATGAATCTGGTGAAATCGGAGGAGAAAATCTCCCTGGTGGGGCGGTTTGCAAGGGATCGACCGCCTCTTGACGTTCTTAGAGTTGAATTGCGAACAAGTCTTCGTCTAGATGGGGAGGTGCAAATTGGCTCGCTAGATAGAAGAAGCGTCCTTCTGAGATTCTCGTTAGAATCTGATTGCAAAAAGGTTTGGCTGAGGAATCAGGTGGTAATCGGTGGGAGTCGCATGTGGATTTCGAGATGGACGCCGGAGAGAAGTGTGAGTCGGGACTCTCCTTTTACTCTGGTATGGATTCAGCTACCCCTTCTGCCCTTCCATTTGTTTAATTTCGAGATGTTTTCTAGAATTTGTGCTCCAATTGGAGATGTTGTCGCGTTGGACTCGGCAACGGGAAGGAGAAGCCGGCCAAGTGTAGCCAAGGTGAGAGTAGAAATCGATGTCTCAAAACCTGTTGCTAATCGTATTTGGATAGAAATTGAAGGAGAGGAGGGGGAGTCTTCTGGCTTCTGGCAGACAGTTGAGGTAGAAAAACTCACGGTGTATTGCTCGGAGTGTGGCCGATTTGGCCATGCTCTGGCGTCTTGCAGGAGAACTGTTGGATCAATAGGGTCTGGGAGGAGAAACAGAGAGACGAAGGCTGATGTGGATTGTATAAATGGGAGCACAGAAGCTGCTCGACGTAATGTTGAGCAGAGAAGGGAAGCTCTGCGAACTGTTGAGAGCAAGGAAGCAGCTAGGGTTGAATGCCTAGAAGCTGTTCGACATATTGCCAAAGAGGGTGGAACTCAGGGGCCTGAAACAGAATCTGGTCTGAAAGGAAAAGAGAGAGTAACTGTACAAGTTGCCTTGAAGGAGAATGAATAGGACAATCTGGAGTCTCATATGCAGGGTGCTGCTGCGACAGAAGAATGCATAGAAGCTAAAAAGAGTGATGATGTTGGTCTGGCATCGATGGCTGATGAAATTATAGAAGAAGCAGCTATGGGGCTGTTGGATGAAATAGCAGAAAAAGTTCTTCTAGAAGATGGTCTGTGTAAGAAAGAGGCTAGAGTCATGGTTGGGAGGGGGTGTTCGAAGAAGGATTTGGCTGAATTTTCTGTGAAGGATCTATGTAAAATCATTGAGAGTATGAGCTCAAGCAAAAGCAGATCAAGTGTGAAAAAGGGAAACCTGCTTGTACTCCTTATTCGAATGAGAGCTCTGCAAGTTCAAAAGGATTGGAAATTTCACAGAGTGCCTTGAGTTCTAGTCCGGCCTTAAGTTTTAATACTTGGGCTGAGGAATTAAAGGCTAAGGCAAGGGAAAATAAGGATGATGCTATGGTTCAAATAGTGGAAGATGCAAGACAGGATGTTGTAGCTTTCTTTAAGGCTGCTTTTGAGGATATGGGGAAGGAGGAATATGATGCAAATTCAGATGATTTGGTTCAAAAGGCAACAGACATTTTCATTAATAAAATGGCATCTCAAGCTGAGGATACTACCTCGAGTGGGTCGAGTAGGAAGGGGAAGACTTGGTATCGAGGGGCTGTGGTAGAGAAGCTTCAAGACCTTGTGGATAAAGATGAGGCCTTTGCAGCTGAGACAGATGATGCTGTGAAAGAGGTTAATTCATACATGCACTCGGTTTATGATGAAGTTAAGAGAGAATACACTGAGGAAAGTGGGGTGATGTCTTTGAAGGCAGTGCAAATGTTCTGGCACAAGGTGAAGGGTAGACCAGCTGTGATGAAAAGACTTGGCATGGGCACCATGCTGGGATGTTTGATGATCAAAGACCCCAAACTATTTGGTGGTGCACTCTGTGAGTGGGCCACTAGGCTCGGGTAATAGCCCAGGTTTGCCAACAGAATGATCCTTGCTGGGAAATGATTACTCTTGAATCTGTATGTTTTGTTAAACAGAGATTTTATGGGTTGGCAGAATGAGTTTGCAGGCTCCTGCTGGGCTCTAACAAAATTTGAATGGGCTGAGAATGAAATTTGAAAGGAACAGCAGCTTCTGAACTGCATAGGTGGTGAAAGATGATTGCAGATGGGCTCTCTGAAGGTCTAAGGAGGCAAAAATGGGCTGATTGGTTGGTTAGATGGAGCCCTCTGATCAGAAAATGGTTGCTGCAAATAGCTTGGCTGCAATTGCAACTTAAAGCTTAATAGTGGAAAGTTGTGATTGCCATGAACTTGATCTCATCTTGAGAAGTGATGCTTTGTGAGAATGAAATTAATGAGGAATAAGGAGGTCCACCATGCTTGGTGGTCTCATGGTTGTGTTCTATGGAAATGGCTGAGCTCATAGCTAAAATCTAAGGGGAGGGGCTGCTGATGTTGAGCTGCATTTAGTAGGATAGAATAATAAAGGGGTCCATCAAGCTTGATGGACCAAGTCTAAGAGGAATGAGATCTAATATGAATAAGCTGCAGGTGCAGCTTGGTGCTTGAAAATGGAATAACTGAAATGGGTGTTGCAGGAGATTGGTTGCTAAAACTGAAATAGCTGTTGAATAAAAATGGAGGGTTCACCTAGCTTGGTGATCTGAAATGGGTGTTTGCTAGATTGGAGGCATAAGGATGGTCTGTGGAATTAATAGCCTTTTGGAGGAATTTGATTTTATTCAATAGGCATCATTTAATCTGAAGGAGAATTGGGCTGGGCTGTATGGAGTTAATTTGGCTCTAGAATGAATATGCTTTGGGCTGAAGTCTGCTAGGCTGTATGGGATTTATTTCCTTGGGCCGGTTTTGTGGCATTTTAGATGGGGCTTTGTAGCTGGGACGTTTAGGCCTTTTGATGTTATGAGAGGCCGTGGGCCTCTTTGGCCTTTTGGGCCTTATTTTGTTAGCCCAATTGGGCCTTTTATTCTAGCCTTCTATGGCCTTTTGGTAGATTAGGCTTTATGCCGTTGTAGATGGCAAATTATGCTCTGGACCCGTGTCCACATTGAATTGTGGACACGGGCCCAAAACGACGTCGTTTTAAAAAAAAAACGCGTCATTTAGTTAAAAAAAAAAAATTCGCGCGTGTTTTGCCGTTAACGGCGTTATTTTTTTTGATTATGAATGTACAGTTATGCCGTTATGAATGTACAGTTATGTCGTTATGAATGTACAATTATGCCGTTATGAATGTATGAACACAGAGCTCTAACATTATGAACTTACAATTATGAACATATATAGTGATAAAATTATGACCATGGAGCTTTAAAATTGTGAATATAGAGCTTCGGAAATTATGAATGTACAGTTATGAATCTACAGTTATGGAGTTATGAATCTACAGTTATGAGATTATGAATCTACAGTTATGGAATTATGAATGTACAGTTATTGATCGAATTATGAACAAAGAGCTCTAACATTATGAACTTACAATTATGAACATATAGTGATAAAATTATGAACATAGAGCTCTAAAATTGTGAACATAGAGCTTCGAAAATTATGAATGTACAATTATGGAGTTATGAATGTACAGTTATGACGTTATGAATGTACAGTTATAGAGTTATGAATGTACAGTTATAGAGTTATGAACGTACAATTATGGAGTTATGAATGTATAGTTATTAATATATAGTAATAAAATTATGAACATATACTTCTATAACAAAGTGATCTGAAATTTAAAAAAAAAAAAAAAAAAAAAAAATAGAAGAAGAAAGGAGATAAACGGCACTATTACCTGTGTCCAGCAAGCATGCTGGACACGGGTCCAAGGCATAACGATTGGTTGTAGATTTAGTCTGCTTTGGCCTTGTTGTCAATCTAATCATGAAAAAAAAAAAAACAATATTGAAAAAAATCGATACTACTTGAAATACTCATGTATCTTAAAATGTTTAATTTGAAAATCCTTATTACTTAATTAGGAATGTAATAGAGCTAGTAGCATTCAAAAAAAAAATTAGGAAAATAATAAATACTTAAAACGTGTCTAAAAATCACTGAGCTGTATGTACGCAGTCGGCAAATTTTAGTATAGACCATGGTCCAAATCGCTGTCATTTTTTTTAATGAAAAAAAAATAGCAATCGTTCCATGTACTTAATTATATTTATATAATATATTCTTTTTTCTTTTATTTTTTTTTCAAGATAAAATCTTTATCTTTATTAAACAACGGAGAAAGAGTCTTACAATTGACGGTCCAAAAGTGACCAGAAAACATACTGAGCCCATTTGGTCCTATGCTCAAAAGAATAATGAATGGAGAGAAGAAATAAATAAAAGAGGATGCTGAAATGGAGGCATAGAATCCCCCTATCGGCACCACCAATTTCCGCAGAATCTAGCAGCATAATGGCTGTTTCAATGGTAGCAGCCTGTACCTGCGTGCTGCCATGTACTATTGCGCCACCATGCCGCACCACCACAAAGTTGCAATGTCGCGACTCTGTACCACAATTGTGACACCCCAAAAATCCACACTCCAATCCATGAATTAATTGAGTAATTAATTCTAATTCTTTTGAGGAATTGATTCCTAAAATCCTGATTTTTAATACTCAAGGACTAGTATTTGACTAGTCAACCTTTAAGTTGTGTTGTACCTTGTGCTTAGAGAGGAGTTCCCTTGTTCCTTACACTTTCTAAGGGTTAGTAAGGGTAGCCTTGTCTTTTCACCAATTAAAATATGTGATTCTTCAACGTCTTGCTCTGCATAACTGGCTCCCTTCGGCACATTTCCACACTGTCGGCAAGCTACTGGCCAGTCTCTTATTCAGAATTTGAACCAAGATGGCCTTTGACCTTGGGTCATGGATCTATTTTCATATTTTCACTCTGATTCACCCGAGAGAACAAAGGTACGACTGCCCTTTCCTAATTTGATCTTTGGAATTCTTACATCACAGGGCCTTGAGCCTATGACGAGTGAGGTGATCAGTCCGACCCTTCTCTACACAGTGGACCGGCGTATGTTGATTGGAGAACATATCTGTGATGTTACACCTAAGAAGGCATAATATATTTTAATATAGTTTGCTTTATGGACTAGTTCTTCCTAGTTTGTAGGATTAGAATATTTCTAATAACTGTTCATAGATTTTGGTGTTTCAGTTGTATGCTTGGCTATTTAAGCCCTCTTTCCCTGTTCATGAAATACATTCTTCATTATATCTCTATATGGTATCAGAGCTATACTCTAGCGAGGATAAAATTTTTTTTCTTCCCTTTCACATGGCTTCTTCCTCAGACACCCATGTTATTCAACTCAATGCTCCCACTAATCTTCCCATCAAATTAACGCCATCCAACTTCCAAGTCTGGAGATGACAAGTTCAGGCTTCTCTCATTGGCTTGGGTCTACTTGGCTATATTGATGGCACAACCCAGGCTCCTACACAGTTCTCTGACACGGCTCAAAAGGAAATCAACGCCGCGTACACCACCTGGTTTAGACAAGATCAAACCATCTTAAATGCTATTTTAGGGAGCTGCTCCGACACGATTCAACCATTGATATCATCGGCGGCATCATCGGCAATCGCATGGGACCGGTTAACGTCGACATATGCCAGTTCCTCACCATCTCGTATTGTGTCTCTCAAAACTAAACTGGCTTCCAATCCCCAAAATGGCCGCCCGGTGGAAGAGTTTGTCGATGAAATGTTCACCATTGCTGAATCGCTTGCACTTGCTCAACATCCAATCAGTGAGCAAGACCTGGTTGTTCATATCCTCACTCAGTTAAACGAGGAGTATGATCATGTTGTTCCTGCTCTGCGTGTGCGACCAGAACCCATCACCTTTTCTGAATTGAAAGACGTGCTTATTGAATTTGAAAGACAACAACGAAAGAAGGATGCTGCGAGACAGTCTATGGTTGCTACAGTAAATGTAACACAAAAGCAACATGGGTTTTCAAATTCTGGCCGGAACGGTCCCAAGTCAAATCGAGGAAACAATTGGCAGCATCCTCACTCTCGGAATTTCAATCAACAGCGTCGGAATATAATGTGTAAGTTTTGCAATCTTATGGGACATGAGACACGTGAGTGTCGTAAGCTGCAGCGATTCCTACGTGATAACAATGTCTCTCTAGACGCAAGGTTTGGCACCAAACCAATGGTGAATACCACCATGGCTACTGCTGCATCCCATTCTGCTGCTCATCATCAACAACCTTGGTTGTTTGATTCTGGTGCATCCCATCACACCACTTCAGACCCATCGCTACTACACTCTGTTACTGAATATGGTGGGCCAGACGAGATTCACTTGGGTGATGGTACGTCTTTGTCAATATCTCATACTGGTCAAACCATCCTCCCTACATCTACCCGTGGTTTATCCTTATCTAATGTTCTTTGTGTTCCTCAATTACAAAGAAATCTTGTCTCTATCTCCAAACTTTGCAAGTCTAACAACGTTTCTGTTGAATTTTTTAATACGCATTTTGTTGTGAAGGACCGATCCACAGGGGCGCTGCTTCTGCGAGGGAGGAACGTGCATGATGTGTACAGTGCTTCTCTATCTTTTCCACCACAAATAAATGCGGCTATCAAGTCCACTCTCACAAGTTGGCATCACACTCTAGGTCACCCATCCAATAAAACACTTGCTAATGTGCTCAGAAGTGCCAATATTTCCCTACGGCCTAATTCTGATTTTCATTGTAAGTCTTGCCTAAGTAACAAAAGTCACAAGTTACCATTTTATAATAATTCCATGACCAGCACAAGACCACTTGAATTATTGTACTCTGATGTTTGGTGTACTAATCAAAAGTCGGTCGATGGTTTTAACTATTATGTGATTTTTGTAGACCATTTTACCAAATATATCTGGTTATTTCCGTTGGTCAAAAAATCTGATGTGCACTTTGTGTTTTGTCACTTTAAAAATCTTGTTGAAAATAAGTTCAAACACAAAATTGTCACTCTATTTTCAGACAATGGAGGCGAGTTTCTAAAGTTAAAACCGCTGTTAAACTCGTGTGGCATATCTCATTTTACTAGTCCCCCGCATACTCCAGAACACAATGGAGTGTCTGAACGTCGTCATCGACATATTGTCGATACGGGATTAGCCTTGTTACATCATGCTTCTATGCCTTTAGAGTTTTGGTCACACGCGTTTCAAACGGTAGTCTATCTTATTAATCGACTGCCTACTTCTATACTCAATGGTTCAACTCCTTTGCATGCGTTGTTTGGCATAACGCCGAGATACTCTAAATTAAAACCATTTGGGTGTTTATGCTTCCCTTGGTTACGGCCTTATACCAATTCAAAAATACATCCCAGGTCCAAGCCGTGTATATTTTTGGGTTACTCTACTACTCAATCTGCCTTTAAATGTCTAGATCGCGATACAGGTCGGGTTTATTTGTCGCGTCATGTTCGCTTTGTACCCACTGAGTTTCCATTCCAGGCATTGACACGGACATGTACTTCTCCCGCAGAAGCAGCTGCTACACAAATTAAAAAGGTAATACCTTATCAAATTTTTGGGTCATCTCCATTTACTTCTATTGCGCCTACTCATTCTGTCCCCTCCAATCACAACTCTCCAAGTGACACCCATTCTCATATAGCAACACACCATTCCCATGCAAGTGAAATACCCATGTGTCCAGCCTCACCTCTACCTTATCCTATTCCGACGCAAACCACAACAGCCCAGTCTTCGCCAGAAATTCCCACGCCAACCGCAGTAGCCCAGCCCTCTACAAAAATTCCCACGCCACAAATCTCGCCTCTATCTTCTGTTCCGACGCCACAAACCTTTTCCCAGCCAGGTGAATCTCCCACGTCAAACACTGCCTCCAATCCACCTACAATACCGGTGCTAGATGCGTCTGAGTCCGCCGAGTCTATCTCTCAGCTGGCCCCACCTGCTCTAGAATGCGCTGGAGAGGTTGCGCAATTGCCTACAACCAGACGGTCGCAACGGCCTCGAAAACCCAATCCTAAATATTATAATCCAAAGTTTGTTAATTTGACTTCAGCACATACCTTAACTCCTTTGCTGGAGCCGACTACTGTGAGCCAAGCGCAAAAGTCAGCTTATTGGCGCAATGCGATGACTGAAGAGTTCCAGGCATTACTCAAGAATGAGACGTGGGAGCTTATTCCCCCAGGGTCTCAACCTCCAATCGGGTGTAAATGGGTGTTCCGTATTAAACGGAAACCGGATGGGTCTATTGATCGGTATAAAGCTAGATTAGTGGCGAAGGGGTATTTGCAAGAACATGGCAAGGACTATTTTGATACATTCAGTCCCGTTGCTAAACCTGCAACAATAAGAATTGTGTTATCTATTGCGTTGACACATAATTGGCCGTTACGACAACTAGATGTGAATAATGTGTTCCTGCATGGAACACTTATGGAAGAGGTTCATATGAAACAGCCCCCGGGGTTCTGTGATCCACTGCGACCGAAACATGTGTGCCGTTTGAAAAAGGCCATTTACGGTCTTAAACAGGCTCCCCGTGCCTGGTATATGGCATTAGCGTCATTCTTAATCTCTTTTGGATTCAGGAAATCGCGGGCGGATTATTCCCTCTTTATCTATCAATCTTATGATATTATAGCGTATTTTATGGTGTACGTGGACGATATAATATTGACAGGAAGTTCTCCGTCGTTCTTGAGTCACTTTGTTAAATCCTTGTCAGCCCGGTTTTCCCTCAAGGATCTTGGCCCGTTGCGCCACTTTCTCGGTGTTGAGCTAATTCCCACTCCCGCGGGTATTTTCCTCTCTCAAGCTCAGTATATTACGGATATTCTCACAGAATTTCACATGCAGGATGCTAAGTCAATTTCCACTCCTGGGTCTGCTACTGAGCTACACAGTGATGACGGTTCGGCCTTGGCGGATGGCACTCTGTACCGTCGTGCTGTCGGGCTCTTGCAATACCTATCCATCACTAGGCCTGATGTTAGCTTCATTGTTAATCGACTGTCACAGTTTTTGAATACCCCAACCTTGTTGCATTGGCAAGGGGTGAAGCGTGTGTTACGCTATCTAAAGGGCACTGTGTGTCACGGCCTGTTTTTACGGCGAGGATCAAGTCTGAATCTCACTGCCTTTTCAGATGCAAGCTGGGGTGGAATCCATGATGGAGGACGATCAACGACAGGGTATGTTGTGTACTTGGGTTCTAATATTATTTCCTGGCGATCGGTTCGTCAGAAAGCAGTTGCGCGGTCGTCTACCGAAGCCGAGTACCGTGCTCTTGCGAATGTGGCAGCTGAAATAGTCTGGTTGCAGAACTTACTGCTTGATTTGGGTATACGGTTGTCCACTACGCCGGTCTTATATTGTGATAACATGGGGGCCACTTATGTGTGCAAAAATCCCGTCTATCACTCCCGAATATAATGAAGCACCTTGCGTTAGACTTTTTCTTTGTTCGTGACCTTGTTGAGAATGGGGCCTTACATGTTCATTACATCCGCACACAGGATCAAGTCGCTGATATGCTCACCAAATCTTTGCCACGCCGCGCTTATGAAGGCTTTCGCTCCAAGTTGGGTGTCTCTGATGGATCCACCATCTTGCGGGGGCGTAAGAAGGCATAATATATTTTAATATAGTTTGCTTTATGGACTAGTTCTTCCTAGTTTGTAGGATTAGAATATTTCTAATAACTGTTCATAGATTTTGGTGTTTCAGTTGTATGCTTGGCTATTTAAGCCCTCTTTCCCTGTTCATGAAATACATTCTTCATTATATCTCTATAACACCGGTGACTGCATCCTCCAATCCTGAGACTGATACAGTGGGTGATAACTCGCCGCATGCACGAGATCTTCAACTCTCTATCCAATTGAAGGCAAGAGTCTATGAGCTCGAGACCGTTCATGGAATAATCGCTAAACAGTTGACAGGGGCTCGTACAGAACTAGCCACTGTTCTTCTTCATTTAAGCCTGACTGAGGCCTCTGCTGCTGCTCCTGTGAAGTCTGACAGTGAGACTCCCTCCAACGCTTGATCTGGCTTTGGCTCTCTATTGGCAAAAAGGGGGAGTATGAACTCAGGGGGAGTTGTTTGTATTTTTGTGTACCTTCTGGCCCTGGCTGGGCGATTGTTTGTCATGGCACCTCCTTTTGAAGAATGTTTTTCTTGACTTTGTTTTGATCCAGCATGACATGTCTGCTGTGTTTTTATTTCTGCAATGTAATCAAATGTTGGGTGGCTTTATGATAGCCTATCTTAGTTATCTCAGTTCTTATGTCTTTCTGTATAGTCGAGTTGTTTTGCCAAATAATAGTCAAAGGGGACGTTTGTTAGTGTTTCAATTGTTCAAAAAACCCAACTTATAATTGGCAATATTATTATGGCATACTAAGATAGGATTAGTTCAGTGTCTGTTTTGTTCCACAGAGGACTGATCAACCAGATTCAACAACAGAAGGACTGACACTAAAGATCTGTTTTAGGAAACTGTTTTCCTAAATGTTGTACGCGGTTTTACAGAAGTCAGATTTGGAAAGAAGATCAGCGTATCTGCTTTGGAAAGGTATGGACCGAATCCTTAAGATTACATTCTTCAAATATCGTCCTACCATCTACAATCAAAGACATCTATGGAAGGAGTTCCCTTTTGACGGAACTATAAGTATCCTCATTCGAAAAGAATTAGGGTTACGACTTTGAGAAAGAAGAACAACACTTCACATCAGTTTGATGAGATCAGATCTTTGATTATCAGGCGTCTTCTCAATACAACGTGTTCATGGTGATTAAGATGACGAACTTGAGAAGAATCACTGCTGCTTAAACGAAAGGACACTGTGATCACACTGTTGTGGGAACAACTGTAAAGAGCGTCATTGAAGTGGACTGCATCAGAGTGGGCTCTCCAAGTGAAGGGATTTCATTGGACTTCTGTATGCATGGCTCTCCATCTTCAACAATCCACTAAACCTGTGTAGACTGGGTATGTACCTTGTGTGGGGCACTTGGGTAAGATTATTGTATATCTACCTTTGTACATCGGATTATGATTTAGTGGATTGGACGTCTACGTGATCGTCCCCCAGACGTAGATACACAATGTGTCGAACTGGGTAAACATTTTGTGTTGTTGGCTTTGTGGTGTTATCTTTTCTTTAATCTTCACTATGATTTTCTGTTACTGATTGAATTCATCGCTGAATCAATCAGTCCTTTTAGTCAGTCGATTAATCCAGTTAATCTGTTTAAAAAGAGAAAATGCAAAATTACAATTATTATTCACACATACATATAACATTCGCTTTGTGTAGAATTTGCTTAATACAATCGATGAGATTTAATTATATAAAACATTTTTAGGAATACTCATAATGACTTGAATATTCTAAAAAAAATTTAAAAATTCTAAAATGTTTTTTCTAGATAAAATAACATAATATACACACTTTGGTATAGGTCTATTATTAATTGATGAGATTTAATCACATAGCACATTTAAGAATACTCATACTGACTTGAATATTCTTTAAAAAAAAAAAGGCCTAAAAATATTATTTTGTTTGGTATATTTTATTGTTTAAATCTTTGCTTTTTCATAGTCGTTGCACTGTGTACGTACAGCTACAAATTTATGTCGGGCATCAGAATTGAAGAAGATTATAATATTTTATATATATTAATTTGATTGTTCAGTAGTACAAAAACAGTCATTCGCGTTCAAAGTTAAGGCTAATTCGCGTCCAAAGTAGCTGGGACGCTGATTGTATATACAATTAGCGTCCAAAGTAACTCTGGACGCGAAAAATGATAATTCGCGTCCAAAGTTGAAGTACTTTGGACGTGAAAAATGATAATTCGCATCCAAAGTTGAAGAACTTTGGACGCGTATAGTATTTTTTTATTAAAAAATAAGCACTATACGCGTCCAAAGTTCATGAACTTTGGACGCGTATAGTCATTCTTTTTTTTTAAAAAATTATTTATTTAATAAAACTATCAATATTTTCCTGTACATTCCAGCATAACTATCAACAAATAATATACTTCAACATTAATCAATTTACAACACACCAAGCTTCTTCTCATATTCAAGAATTAAATTGCATTACATGATTACATCAAATATTTTAAAAAGTTTACTCATGTTTCTTACAAACAGTGAACATATTAACTTTTCACTTTGAGAGAATCTCAACACAATTGTAATGAACTATGGAAGTCATATGAACACTGTTATAGTATGAATCTGATTGACTATTTTTGGCTGTGTCTTGGGTTGTTGGTTTTTCAATTGGTTGAAACTTAATGCTAGACTCTAAATTTTTCATTCTGTGTTCATTGAAGATTTGGAAAATAAATAGTATGAATTTTTCCTCCCCTTCCCCAAACACACAGACTGCATCTGTATATCATGATAATCTTAGCATAATTTGAACTGCATCTATATATACTATATGATGCTAAGGCTATAACAAATAACAAAAAAAAATGCCATTTTCCTTAGAATATTCATCTCAGATAAATGCCATCCAACTTTCATGCCTCTAACAAATAACAAAATAATAATAATAATAATAATTACTGATTTTCGAAAAAAAATTTAAAAAAAAATTAAAACTAATACATATGCACCTGTGACGATGAACAGAGCCGGCGGCCGGATTTGGAGTTGACTTGTCAATCTCTGTGCTTGGTACCTAGAATAAATGCATAGGAGTTGAGAGCCAATCCATTAAACAAAACACACACCTAATCACATGTTAAATTAAAGAATCCTGCCTGTCATGTGGGAGTTACCTTAAAAGAAATGATCTCATATGGTTCTGCAGCAAACAAAAGATATTGATATCTTTTGTCAAATGGCTGGATTTTCTGCCAATAAAAAAGAAATAAATAAAACAAAGTTAAGCATACTGTTAAAATATATAAAGAGAATTCTTTGCACTTACATTCAAGGAAATTCTGTGATGAGTATTAGTATTCCATGGAAAACACTTTAGCCCTTCAAAATACAACTTCTATAAAGATATTACAAACCTGCTCAAAGGAGGACATAAATCTATGCCTCGGCTTTGTATTGTCTTCAATCTCAGGATATTCAATCTGCACCAACCACCAAAGCCACTACACATGTCAGCATCTTCTGGAGCAACATAACCCAATAAGGAAAAACAAAGAAAAAGCATATATATTTGTTGATCTAACTCCTGTTCTCATGGGCTCGTGTGAGTAGGAAACAAAAAATATCTATTCTAGTTCTATCATCAGCTATGGGGTCGAATCTAAGAGAAATTCTAGAGAATGTCTGCTATCCTGAAATTTTTTTATCCTTTCTGAGTGATAAGGAGAAAAAAAAATTGGGTCAAAAGAAAACGCCATTTTGGAATTTTATCAACAATTTGCTTGCGTAGACGGGGATCCAATATTTTCTGAATCCTTATGGAAGGAATTACAAAAGAAATTTTTTCAACAAAGATGTGAATTGGGAAGGATTGGTCGACGAAACATTTATTTCTTTACAGAGTAAAGATATTGGCTGGTCCAACACTTGTTCTTGTGGAGTAAAGCCAACTAGAACCAAGAATCTAATTACAATAAGCATGTTTTACTCTGGAATGTTATACACATCAAGAATGTGGTAAAGATTAGAGAGAGAGAGTAGCCAAACCTGAAAAAGGAGAGATCTTTGTTTTGTCTCTGGATCAAACTGTTTTGTCACCCTATAGCCAGGCCTACCAATTTTCACTGCAACACATAGTTATACTTCTAAGTAACCAAAAGTACACAATAATAGATTTAAAATTGAAAATTAAACTATTCATTTTCATTAATACTGAATTTTCTCCGAGGCAACTGACAACAACACAGTTTAATGTCCTGCTTGGATGAGCTTATTTGCAGCAGTTCTAGTGCTTGATGTTCGTGTGAATTGTGTCTTACTATGCTTGTATAGGCTTATGAAAAGAGCTTGTGACTTTTGAAAAGCCCTTCTGAACTTATTTGAATAAGCTATACTAAGGAGCTTATCAAGATAAGTTTAAAAGGACTTTAAGAAGCAAATAGAATTGGCAACCCCATATAAACTGTTTCAAACTTGGTGAAAATTCATAATTTCATATGTTGTTTATAAAAACTGGCCCTAGAACCTAAGAGAGAAATAGAATGACGAACACATAACGCAGCTTACAATGAAAACAACCACAAATATGACTCTATGAGCAACATCAGCCTGAACATAGCTCAAGAGTCATCAAAACCCTATATCCAAAACCCTAAAACTTTTTCTTATTGAAATTGGATAGTGATACGGCTAGTACATAAATTCTCTGAAGTAATATTGCTAGCACTAATGAATTTATGAGTGAACAGAAATGATAATGGAATATAAATTGAAGTTAAAAGGAGAAGAAAAAAAAAAAATCTATACCGGTCTTTTTGAGCGAGACTTTGCGTTTATGAGGTTGCGGCTGAGCAGGCGCCTCCTTGGCTTCGCGGTGGCTGGCGTGCGAGGCAGCAGCGGTGGTCGGCGTCCTACTCCTTTGAGCGGCGATGAACGGAGGTTATTTGTTATGGAGAGCGGCGATGGAGAGCGCCGATGAACAGGAGTGGGAGATGGAGAGCGCCGGATGGCGGGTCGGTCGGTTTGAGAGCAGGTTAGGGTTGGAGAACTGATCGATTGCAAGGGGGAAGGGATTAGAAAGATAATTCACGTCTAAAGTCCTCAACTTTGGACGCGAACTAAATCCGCACTTAATTATTCGCGTCCAAAGTTGAAAACTTTGGACGCGAATTATTTTTAAAAAAAATAAAAAAAATTAGATAGTGGCAATTTAATTACAAAATTGCCACCGCACTACACATTCGGCGTCTAAAGTTAAAACTTTGGACGCGAATTATTAGATTTTATTGATATTTTTTGTACTAGTGGTTGTTGGTCTCGATTAGTAAGGGATTCAAGTCCACAGGGGAGAAAGGGGAGGGGGGACTAATAGACTTGAATGGATTTTTTAAACTTTTATTCCTTAGCTCAAGTAAACTTTAACCTTAGAATAAATTGAGTATGTAGCTGAAAATAAATGTTATTCCCTTTTTAATTTGTTTGCACTTGTTTTTATGATTTAAAAACTTTATGTTTGGTAAGCTAGTGTTGAAATGTAAATTACAATAAGTATAGAGAGAGAGAGAGGGGTAGATAATCTACATCCACTCTTCTCCGACTCAAGGAAGATTGCACTATATATACACCCAATAGTACAATAAGATGGGGGGGGGGGGGGGGGGGGGGGAGGGGGGCTGTGCCTTGATCATAAAACCGGCCACAATTCTCTAGGTTTTTCACAAGCTACACTTGTTACTCCGTCTCTTTTTAGCTACTAATCCTAGTTGAGATAGATTGTTTTGAACATAGGTTGTTCACAATCCCCAACTACAAGACTCAACGTAGGAACGTATCATTATTGCGGTAGTCTCTTGAGCATGATATTTCACTTGTAGTGTTAGCTCTCTCTTCATTGGCCCCTAGATATCTCTTGTAAGCCTTTTTCACTTAGTATTACATGATCTCAAATATTGCCAATTTGAAAATTTATCTGTTAGAGGGAAACAAATTTATAGACAATTTATCCATCAGGTTCATTTATATATATATATATATATATATATATATATATATATATATATATATATATATATATATATATATATATATATTGACAAGTTTGAAAATTTGTCCATTTGGAGGAAAACAAATTTCAAACATCTCTTAACCTTAGTGCAATGACTGTGGTTAATACGGTAAGTTGCTTTTTGATTTGATTTCTAGCCATCGACACAACTTTATCTCTACACATTCCTTTTTACTCTACACCTTTTGTCTAGGCCTTTTTAGGAAATCATTCTTGGATGTGTACTTAAGACTTCTTACTCCTAGGTAAGATTCTTCTTGTAACTTTGTATTTTGAGGTTGTTCACTATTTGCCCAGAAAATGTTCGAATAGTAGATTACGAGAGGTCACTAGTACAGAATTACAGATACGCAACTATTGTAAAAGACATTTGGCAACTGTTATACAATAGTTGTTGCTGCCAGGCTTGGACATTACCGTTGTGTAACAGTAGCGTAATGTCAGTAATACGCGACCGTTCTTGACTGAGAACGATCGCGTATTGTATTTTTATTTTTTAATTCTTTTTTATTCGAAGGTATTGCGTGACCATTCTAGCCTTAAATCAACAATCCGCTACTGTTCTCAATACTGTTTTAAAAAATAATTAAAAAATATTTTAAAACTACATTCATTTTGCATCGTGCAATTCACACACAACCATCATGAAATTACTACAGTACTTGCAAAAAACAATAAATAAAATTATAGATTTATAGTTTTAAATTAAAAATAATTGAAAATTACTAAAAAGAAAATAAAATTACAACAAATTAAGAATCAAAGAACCTCATGAAGACTTTCAATTCTTCTCACATACAGAATTCTTACCATACAAAAGATAGCAGAAATTTTTATATCCATAAATTAAAACATCTGAGGAGAGTGAAGAAACGCTTACCACATCTTTAGACAAAGGTACATCATCTGATTTGTGTCTCGAGTGTTCACCATGCCGACCAGAACCTGAAGCATTTCTCCTAGAAAATTCTTCAACAGCACCAGAAAACCTGTCTCGAATATCCAGACCTGCAGAATCAAAATATCAAATATCACTTGTTATGCAATGGTCCAAATTTCACACAAAGGGTCCAGGTATTTGGTGAAATGGGCAAAGGGTCCAGGAATTTGATGAAATGGGCAAAGGTCAAATATCGAATGATTAGATTTTGGTAAAAGCGAGATAACATTTGGTAAACCCAAGCCCATAAAGTCAGAGATATCAAGCACCCATTGTTGCAATCAATAGTCAAAATAAAAGGATCCGTCCAAATTCAGAAATATTGACAAGTTTAGATAAGTGCCTATATTGCATTTTTCATTGGCATAGTAAGTACCTCTATAGGAGTTAACATCTTCTTCTCGCTGATTTTGTCATATTTCTGCTTTTTAGTACCAGCTTTTAATCCCTGCCAAGGAAGGCTGAAGCAAGGAAAAACAATGCATAAAGCTCTGTTGTTATGTCAATAAGATCAAGATATACATTGGGAAGAGAACTCCAGACAAGAACGAAGAAGAAAAGGTAGCAGATGTGAAATAAATTTCAGCTTAAGAGCTCAATTGCTCTATACTTACAAGCTGCAAGAAGCATATCATCATGTACACAGATGGTACCAGACATGACAAGACCAAAGCCAAACCCGAGGAAAATATAGCAGGTGTTAGCCTGTATTTCTAGGGAAGATAGGATGATGAAACTTGGCATCATCCCCTTTTTCTTGACGGTTAATTTCGTTATTTCCCGCTTTCTCTAGCTTCTAGCTTCTAGCTTCTTCTGATGTATATAAGCTGAATTCTTCCTCTTTCACAAGTTAATGAGAAAACATACAGTTTCAGTTTCTTTCCTTTCTGTTTCTCTCTTGCTCCGTGACATGGTATCAGAGCTCACAGAATCAGGAGCATTCTGAAATTAAGCTTCCATGGCAGCTCCCTGGCCTACGATCGGAAATCGTTCGGCTGCAACAGAGAATCCAGCTGGGAATCCAGCTTCGACAGGAAATCCGGCAAACGGTAACACGATGCCGTCCAGTTCTACAGCTACAACCACAATCGGAGAAAACAATTTAGAGGTAACATTCGATCCGCAGTCTTAGTCCAATCCTTATTATCTGCATATGAACGAAAATCCTGCGTTGGAGTTAGTTTCTTTTCCTCTAGATGGCTCGAAGTATCACACAAGGTCTAGGGCTATGATTATGGCTTTTCATGTAAGAACAAGGTTGCTTTTGTTAATGGAGCCATTTAGAAACCACTTACAGATAACCTAGAAAGGTTTATGGCATGGGAAAGATGCAACAACATCGTTGCATCTTGGATTGTTAGATCATTAACTCCAACGATTGGGCGTAGCGTGTTGTGGATCGACACAGCCCATGGAATCTAGGAAGATTTGAAGAGAAGATTTAGTAAGCAGGATCTGTTTAGGATTGCTGAAATTAGATGCGAAATATATCAGACTAAGCAAGCAGATAACTCGTTGAATGAGTATTTTTCCAGGCAAAAATTATTGTGGGATGAACTAAGAATCCTTAGGCCTCTCATGAACTGCTCTTGTACTCTCAAGTGTGAATGTGGGAAGAAGATTGACACCTTAAATGAGCAATTTCTTATGGATAAACTGTCCATCTTCTTGAGTGGATTACATGAGAAATACACAGGAGCTAGGAACCAAATCATGCTTATGAGACCTTTACCAGATGTAAATGAAGCATATTCAATGATTGCACAACAGGAGAGACAATTTGAGTTGGTTAACAGTGAATTTGGAAGTGGATTTGGAAGCCAGTTGTATCAAACAGGTGAAAGCAATACTACTAGCAGTGTGTTTATGGCCAAAACAGATGGCAATTTTCAGTCAGGTTTTAAAAAATATCCTGCCAACAAGAAACATGTGTGTACATACTGTGGGTGCACAGGCCATACACAAGACAAATGTTATAAGAAGCATGGGTACCCCCGGGGTGGAAACCAAGATCAAGGAGCCAAGGGCATGCAAATCATACACAAGGTCCATCAGAATCACAACAAACTAGCAGTGATGGGGTGTCATTTACTCAAGATGACTTTAAAAGATTCCTGGACTTTATGCACACCAAAAGAATATCAAATGAGAACATGAGCTCACCTGTCGATTAGCCTCCACAAGCCCTTGTCAACACCATATCCACCACTGATTTTCATAATGGAGGTATGATTCCTTCACTCAACTCTGTTCAGATTGATAGAAGTGAGTGGATTGTGGATAGTGGTGCTACTCATCGCATAGTTTGTGATTTGGATTTGTTGAGCAATCAGAAAGAAGTACATAATCTACATGTAAACTTACCAAATGGTCAGCAGTCTGCTATTAGATACACTGGCTCAGTTTCATTGTCTGAAAAGTTTGTCTTGCACAATGTCCTTTATGTACCTGACTTCCAGTACAATCTCATTTCAGTAGGTGCCTTCATTAAGAGCTCTTGTTATGTCATAAAGATACATTCTGACCAACTTGTTATACAGGATGCTACCCATGGGACAATGATTGGAAGGGCTGAACTGAAGAATGGATTATACTTCTTAGTTTTTCCTGCTAGTTCTTCTTTTGTATGCAGTTCTGTATCATCTCTTAATAAGTGTAAGCTGTGGCATGCTAGGCTAGGGCATGCCTCACACTCAAAACTACAGGCCTTGAGAGCCTTAGTGTGACACCCCAAAAATCCACATTCAATCCATGGATTAATTGAGTAATTAATCCTATTTTATTTGAAGAGTTAATTCCTAAAATCCTGATTTTCAATACTCAAGGACTAGAATTTGACTAGTCAACCTTAAAGTTGTGTTGTACCTTGAGCTTTGAGGGGAGTTCCCTTGTTCCTTACACTTTCTAAGGGTTAGTAAGAGTATTCTTGTCTTTTCACCAAGAGTTAGTATTGTAACCTAACCTAGAAGACTTCTTCATTTCATTCCCTACAATTCTTAGACATTAGTTCTACCTTCTCTCTAGAAAAGAAGTGTAGCTTATTCTCCAAGCCAAGTTGAGACCCTTGTCAAGATTCCAAGATTTGCTTCCAAGATTCAACCTTTCACCTATTTGGGCATCTAGGAGGGTAAGATCTAAGTTCATCTTGTGTTTTTGGTTCCATCTTAGTTGTCTTTTTCTTAAAGGTAGGATCTTTATGATCTTTTGGTTTAATCTTGAAGTGGGTTTGGAAAGTAAGCCTTGTGGGGAGCTTGTTGTGGTGTAAAGTGAAGTCTTTTGGTCTTCAAGAGGTAATCCATGCTCTACAAAACCTATTTTGCTTACCTATATGTGATTTCTTAGATTCTACATATGTTTTGCTATGAAATGTGAGGGTTTATGCATTTGTTTTGTGATATTGCATATCTAGAGCTTGTGTTTAGGGTTCCTTTGTGCCATTGCTTGGCATTTTCCATGGTTCAAGTCATTTTGTTGTGTTGGGTGAGATTTGGCATGTTTTGGACTTGAATTTGTGTTTGGAGAAGAAAATCCCCGAAGGGATTTGTTGTGGAACAGGAATGTTCCCGCGGGCGGAACGGCGGGCGGGGCACCACCCGCCAGCCTACCCGCGGGTACAGTGCCTGTGGGAATGTGTTCCCGCGGGCGGGACCACGGGTGGGGCGCTACCCGTGGGTCCACCCGCAGGGAACACTATGGTGTTCGTTCGGGATTTGTTCCCCGTGATTTGTTTGACTCGGTATTTGGTCTTTTGGCTTCCCGTTGTTCTTTCGTGGAACTATTTGAGTGTCTTCTTGATGTTTCGTATGTCTAGAACTATACGGTAGGTATCCATGTAGGACTTTGGTGTCTTGAATCGTGCTAAGTGTTCAACATTGTGTTTCGTTGGACCAAGAGGTGTCTTGTGTGTTCCTCGGAACTATCTTGAGTTTCTCCGTTGTTAAGCATGCTAGTTTATTGTCTTAATGCTAGCGTGTGTGTGGTTTGTACCTTCCATTTTCTTGAAGATAACTTGCATTATTCATCGTTGTTGTTGTTGGGTTGTGACCCATTCCTTGATTGAGTATGGTTTCATACCTTCGTTTTGATCCGTTGTTTGACTCTCGTGTGAGTTGTGGTGCATGTGTGGCTTTACCTGGATTGCACGATTAGTGGTATAGGACACTAGTCACCAAGGTATTGCAGCGGTCCTCGTGGTGGCCGTGACGTGATTATAGAGTTGTGGCCTGAGTGATGGGTCCACGTTTTTGGGGGATAACATGTGTTATCCGGGCATGTGTTGCCGTGAATTGGTGGTCTTGTTGGTGGGGAACGACGGTCCCGGGGGAATAAGTTTGGACTAAGAAGTACTTGGAAAGAAGGCACAAGGTTGGGGGTAGCCATAAGGTTGGAACAGGGCATAAGGAAGGCATACCAACTCGTGATGGGTGATGTTGCGAGGGCTTGTAAAGCCGGCGTTGTGTGTTCTTCTCTCGTGACGTGTGTAGTCACGGAGGCATGTGTTACCGTTGGGTGAGTCTTTATTCTTTGCCTGTGGTTAACCTTTGTGGTTTGGAATGCGTTCCCGTGTTATCTTTGAGAGTGATGAGTCTTGTTTCGACTGTTGATCTTGGTTTTTGACTTATATATATGTATTCCGCTTCGAAAATGGTTTTTATGACATATCTATCTATGTATGATACTTAACAGTATTAGTGGGTTACCAGCTTTATTCGCTGACTGGGCGTCGTCCCAATGTTTATCTTTGTATCTTTCAGGTGATGTTTAGACGAGCGCGATGTCTAGAGCCTGGTAGCTTAGCACCTTTATCCTTGCTTTTGTGGCCTGTGCGCCAATGTAGTTAGACTGATGTTTTGGGATAGATGTATACACTTGCAGATTGTTTGCCATAGCGTTTACCGTGTTTGGTAGACGTGGCGTGACACCCCATTGGATTTCTTTTATCCAGTTTCGTTTTATCTTCCGATGTGCTAGTTTTGTTGTTTAATCTGCATGTGTTAAGGCTTTTATATAGGTCTTGTTTGGGGGGTGTTACACTTAGAACCTACAATTCAAATAAATAAAGAGTTGATTTGTGATAGCTGTCATTTTGCTAAACAAAAAAGAGCTCCTTTCCAGCATAGCACATCTATATTAGCTAATTGTTTTGATTTGTTGCATGTTGACATATGGGGACCCTACAAAGTGGCTGCTCCTCATGGCCATCACTACTTCCTCACCATACTGGATGATCACAACAGAGCAGTTTGGATATACTTGATGAGAGCAAAGTCTGAGGTTAGAAAGTTGCTAACAGATTTCTGCACCCTGATTGAAAATCAGTTTGGTACTACTGTTAAGTGCATAAGATCAAATAATGGGTTGGAGTTTGACATGGTTGATTTTTTTTGCTCAAAAAGGGATTGTGCATCAAACTTCATGCACCTATACACCCCAACAAAATAGTAGGGTTGAGAGGAAACATGGTCATTTGTTGTCAACAGCTAGAGCTATCAGGTTCCAAGCTAACTTACCAGAGTATTTTTGGGGAGAATGTGTTCTTCATGCTGCTTATATAATCAACAGACTTCCATCTGCTGCCATTAATAATCAGGTTCCATACCAAGTTTTGATCAAGAAGGAACCTCAATACCAACATTTGAAAGTCTTTGGTTGCTTGGTGTATGCTACCATTGTAGGCCCTAAGACCAAATCGGATGCAAGGGCAAAGAAATGTATCTTTCTTGGCTTTGTAACTGGCACAAAAGGCTATAAAGTGTATGATCTTCTGACAAAGGAGTTGTTCATATCTAGAGATGTGGTCTTTTATGAAAATGTTTTCCCTTTTCAACAGGTTGGCAGCGCACATAAAGAATCCCCTCATATCATACTCCCTACTACAATGGGGGCTGATCCTATGGAAATTCCAGAAACTCCTCAAGTCAGTGACAGATGTGAGCAGCCACATTCTCAGCCAGATGAAATACACATTCAAAGTCAGGACATCAGCATTAATGATCAGCCTTCCCTCTTGGGTGAGCAGATTTCTGATCCTACAAATGGAATGGCTCAGACCATTCCCACAGAAAACTCTTTTCAGCAAGGCAATAGGAGGTCACAAGACAGAAACAACTCCCCAACTATCTACATGATTATGTCTGCCAAAATGCATCCTTAAAAACTTCTCCTCATGATATCTGCAAATTCATGGGCTACAGGAGGCTGGCACCCTCTTTTCAGCACTTTGCCATGAATATTGTTTGCCATTCAGAACCTAAGAACTATCAAGAAGCAGCCCAACATGATTGCTGGAAACAAGCTATGCAGGAAGAGATCAGTGCTTTGGAGAAGAATAATACTTGGACATTGGTAGAATTGCCTCCCTCCAAGAGACCAATTGATTGCAAATGGGTGTACAAAATCAAGCATAAAGCTGATGGCACTATAGAAAGGTATAAGGCAAGGCTTGTGGTAAAGGGGTACAACCAGGTTCTTGGCATTGACTACTTGGATACCTTCAGTCCAGTAGCCAAAATGACCACTATAAGAACTCTCTTGGCCATAGCAGCAGCAAAGAACTGGTACCTTCACCAAATGGATGTGAATAATGGCTTTTTACATGGTGACTTGGAAGAAGAGGTCTATATGCAATTACCCCTTGGACTGTCAGGAACAAATGCTGGTCTGGTATGCAAGCTCAATAAATCCTTATATGGCCTGAAACAAGCCAGTAGGCAATGGGATTCAAGCAGTCCCTACCTGATAGTTCCTTATTTACCAGAGGTGAGAATAATTCCTTTGTTGCCTTGTTGGTCTACTATGTAGATGACATTGTTGTTGCAAGTGCTGATATGAAAGTCATACAAGAAGGGAAAGAGCTGCTGAATACAAATTTTCAAATAAAAGATCTAGGACACTTGAAGTATTTCCTATGTTGGGAGGTGGCCAGGCAGCAAAAAGGCATTGCTATTTGTCAAAGAAAGTATGCCCTTGAACTCCTCAAGGACACATGTTTCACAGATTCAAAACCTGTTTATAGCCCCACTGTCCCATCTCACAAACTAAGCAAGGATGAAGGTGAGCCCCTTGAGGATAATACCACATACAGGAAGATCATTGGAAAACTCCTGTATCTAACTATAACAAGACTAGACATCAGTTTTGCTACACAACAATTGTCTCAATATTTGGACAAACCAACTCATCTACACTTGCAGGCTGCCTATAGAGTACTAAGATATATAAAAGTTGCTCCTGGCCAAGGGTTATTTTTCCCTTCATCCTCTGATTTGAAGCTGAAAGCCTTTTCTGACTCTGATTGGGGAGCATGCATCGACACAAGAAAATCTGTCACAGGTTTTTGTGTCTTCTTGGGGAATGCTTTGATCTCTTGGAAGTCAAAGAAGCAACCTACCATATCCAAGTCATCCTCAGAAGCAGAATATAGAGCCCTGGCAGCTACTACCTGTGAAGTCTGTGTTTCCTTCTGGCAGAACTTAGGGTGGATCAAGTTGAATCAGTGGCTATATATTGCGATAGCAAATCCGCAATTGCTATAGCAGAAAACTCAGTATTTCATGAACGTACCAAGCATATAGAGCTTGATTGACATTTAGTAAGAGAAAAGCTCAACAATGGTCTCATCAAGCTGTTCCACATCTCCTCATCAAACCAGTTAGCAGATACATTCACCAAGACTCATTGCCCCGACTCTTTTCAGAATTACATCTCCAAGCTTGGATTACTAGACTTGTATAATCCAGCTTGAGGGGGGCTTTTAGGGAAGATAGGATGATGACACTTGGCATCATCCCCTTTGTCTTGATGGTTAATTTCGTTATTTCCCGCTTTCTCTAGCTTCTAGCTTCTTCTGATGTATATAAGCTGAATTCTTCCTCTTTCACAAGTTAATGAGAAAGCATACAGTTTCAGTTTCTTTCCTTTCTGTTTCTCTCTTGCTCCGTGACATGTATGGAGAGCAAGGGAAAAGAGGTCAATAAACTCATTGAGCTAAAATGTGATTTATGAGAAAGTATATCACATAACAATGCATAACCTGGCCGGGTATGTTGAGTTTGCCATTACATTATAAGAGGGTGTGATTCATTTATAGAACCTTGGTTCAGATTGGTGGAAGAAGGAGAAGACAAAAGGTATAGGGCAATGATTGTAGAGAAGAGTACCTTGTTAATGGCAGCCATGGCCTCAATTACTTCACATCCGACATCTAACATAACAGAAATGTACAAGGGCCAATAGTTTGTTTTTAAAAAAAAAAAAATTAATTTCACATATCATACATAGTGTATAAAACAAAAGAAAATATTAGAAACTGACTATTACCTCTCAGAGCTGCTGCTTGATTTCCTCAAAATTGCTAATCTTTTTGCTTACTTAACGAACTCACTGCAATAAGAAGAGGTTATTAATTGTTAAGGTGAAGTTGTGCAAATTAAATATAATGTTTCAAATCTATATAATGTTTCAAATCTGGTCCATCCCAGTTACCTGTAGCATATCATCAAAGGAAACAGTAAACCAAAATGTAATTGAAGCTCATAAATTCAGTCAATCCTTTATATATAAGAAAAGATCTACGATAAACAAAATCATAAGGTTAGCAGCTAGAATGCACAGGTTGAAAAATTCACTCCCATTTAAAGCTTTCCTACTGCAAGTAGAGGAGGAAGCTATTTGAAGCCTCATATCTTTAAAATCAAATTTTCCATTCAATTCCAGTTCATATATAGTTCCAACTTTATAGAAATATAATTATATAGCACATTACCACATCCTAGATTCCTCAAACAGAAATATAGATACACAAACCAAATTCAACATTTAAGCCATCTAGAAATATAGATAAACAAACTAATTTAACAGTGGAAGAAACATACAAACAGCCATCTAGAAATATAGATACACAAACATCATATTTGAAAACTATATGCCAAAAAATAATGTACATGCATGTAATCCATCTTAAAGTTGGTACTATATGTCTATATGGCTGAACATTACAATAATAAAGAACCAAGAGTGTCCATCAATCCAAAAAACAAACTAAATTGTTGCCAAGAGAGTCATGCAATTGTGCTTAGGCATTGTGTTCAAATACTAATACCATTATTCTTGACAAAAGTTAAACTGAAACACAGAGGACAAAGCTTGATGAAGTTTATATGTATAATATGTAAATTGACTGCAGACTATATGTGAATTACTTTGTGTTTCCAACTTGCATAACAAAATTTCCCATTTGCACAGGTTACGATTTGGATTATGTTGTGCTCACTGCTCAGGCATTGTGTTCAAATACTATACTCAAGTTTCAACAATATAATATACATAAACAAAAGGGGAAACCACTGAAATCTAGGTCACATGAATTTAAATATATACTGATAGGATTATTACTAGTCTGCAAAACACTTAAATAATAGGAATATAGGATTATTAATATGTTGTAAAATCAGTTAATATGTTGAGTGTGGTCGTCGTCGGCAAGGGAGTCTTCCGGTGTCTCCGTGTCTCGTCTCCGTGTGATCGGCAAGGGAGGCCTGAGTTAGGGAACACCTGTGCACAGGAATGCTATTCTGATCTCTTCAAGACCAACCTGTAAACATTGAAAGGCCAAGGGGGAACAGTACACCACCCAAGAAAAAAGGTTTCAACTCCTGTAGTCTATAGAGAGTTCATCCAACATACCTTTGGTGGAGGTAATCAAGAAGATGAAGTGTAAGAAAGTCAAGAGAAAATTGATTGATGAAGAAGTAGCTAGCCAATCCCCTAAGCCTGTGAAATCTAAAAAGCTTAAGAAGGTGAAGGATGTTAAAGCCAGTATTGAGGATGTTGTGGAGACATTGGAGAAGACTGTTACTCAGGGGGAATCTTTTGTTCAAGCTCAACCCGTCCCACAAGAACCTGCTCAGGCAGAAGATGTGGCGAGTGCGAACGTGACAGAGGTGATTGGAGGGATAGTAAGAGCAGTGATTAACGAAGATCGAGGCTCGAGATAGATGTTGAATATAATCTGCTGTTGATCACACCACAATGGATCCATCTGCCAACTAGATTACCATTGATACTACTTTGGTTCATCAGATGGAGTTGGAAGACATTCCAAAAGAGTTCTTTGCTGATGAGGATCTACTGGATGGCTGAAGTGGAAAGAGTCAGCAACTCGCAAACATTGAGGGCTAGTAAGTTCAAGCAATTGGTGGAAAGATTCTCAACCATGAAATTTTTTTTCTTATAATTTAAATTTTTTTCTTATAACAAAATTCTTATTAAAAGAATTTGATATGAATTTTATAGGAGTAATAAGCACTTCTTTTCACATAATGATTTATTCATTTTATTGATTATTTTTTTTTTGAAAACATTGATTTCTTATTTAGTTATAACAGAAATTATGTTAGTTTGTAAATGAAAAATAGCTCTTTTTGTTCCTTAATAGGTTATGCTTGAGATGTAGAGTCTACCCCTACTTATAAACGCATTTTTTTTTTTTTGAAAATAAAAGGCTAATTCATTAATCATAAGCAGAAATGTTTACAATACAGATCGTTAGAATGACAATGCATTCTTTACAGTCAAACATCGAAACAAATTTCCTAACAATTTTATAGAAAACTTGGATCGCAGACTGTTTTACAAACTTGAAGCCGAAGTTGTTGGATGAACTCGGTGCTTCTTCACAGATCTGGTCAAACATAGTCAAGCCTGACTCTGGTGAGACCATTTTATCATTCCACGCTTATGAGGAGAACTTGCCAAAGAAACGAGAGGGAAACACTCGCCAGAGAGACTAGAGAAAACAAACTATTCAAAGGAACAAAGGGATAACGTAGAACCAAAAGAAAACAACATAAACGGAAAAGATGATAGAAAACCTGTCAGATCTGTAGAGTCTTCGAAGCCTTCTCTGAAAAAAAATCGGAGATGATCTGAGATCTAACAATTATTCCTAAAACAGCCGAAGGATAAAATCTACTAATGGCATCGCCGACTCAACCCTCCATCAGAGCGTCAACCGGCAGCACCAAGTCGTCGGGTCTTTACTTCGTGGGAGCAGCCGAAAATGGGAGAGAAAGCGGTTGAAGTTTTGGGAATTAAACGCATTTATTTTTTATCTTTTAGTTATCGCAAAAGTGGCTTTTAAAACTCTTGTTGAAATAAAAATCTTAAACCATGTAACAATAAGGCAATTTATATCGTGCACTATGGCGCGCATTGCATTGTGCGCCCTGGTGCAAAACGACGTCATTTGAAAAATCTTTTTTTTTTTTTTTTTTTTTTTTTTTGGAAATTTCGCTTTCCTATGTCGACGGTTAATTTTCTTAAAGAAAATCTCATGTTTCGAAAATGTACATAATTGTATACTAGAATGTACATAATTTTCTAACAAAATACACATACTCTTTTTTGAAAAGATAATACACATAATATAACATAATACATAATATACATAAAATTTTAACATATTACACATAAACTCTTAATATAATACACTTAAATTCCCTGTTTCGGATGTACATAATTGTATAAAAAAAATATACATAATTGTATGAAAAAAATGTACATAATTATATAAAAAAAATGTACATATATAGTTGTATACTATAATGTACATAATCGCGTCAACTTCCTACACAACTTAACAAAACAACGTCGTTTTTGGGTGGCGCGGGGCGCACAGTACTATGTGCGCCGTGGTGCAGGGTATAACGATTGTGACAATAAGTTCAAAAATGTAAAAACACTATGCATGCAAGCAATTTTAGGCAAGAACATTTTCATCTCTTCAATTATTTTTTCTCTATTTCTGTGCTTGTTTTTTTTTTTTATTAACTTTTTTAGCTTTTGCTTTTGTCTCTTCGGTCATGGATTACACCAACTCCTTCACCCAGCTCTTGTCTTCATCTCCTTCAACTCGGCCCCCAATTGTCTTTCGTCAATAACGATGCCGAGTATGTGAGGACATCTAGATGCAAGAAAATCATTTTGCAATGTAATTGCAAAGCTCGGATGTCTCCACCTGGGAAGCTTGAGTATTACCACTTTTGCTTTATTTAGTCCATGTTTATGTGAATCATCTAATGTAGTTGTAAAGCAAACAAAAAAAAAAAAACAAAACAAAACAAAACAAAAAAAAAAAAAAAAAAAAGGAAAAAAGAAAAGAAAGAAGCTTCTTCTTTGTTTCGACCATTGCGTCTTCTCGTGCTGCCTCCGGTGGCCAATGAGGCTAAAGCTTACCCCAATAGATCATCCAGGATGGAAGTGAAGTGTTCCCACTTTGGAGAGTTATCAAACTTCGTCGTCCACATGCACTCAACATGAGGAAAGCATTTATAATTTTTTTCATGATTATTATTGTTTATGTAAAATTGCTAAAAACGTGTGAATCTTATTTCTAAGTTATATGGCATGCAATAGTATTTTTTTAAAAAAAAACATAATTTAAATTTTTTGTATAAAAATATATGTGTTACGTTCATTAGGGTTTTTTTTTTTTTTTTTTTTTTTTACATGTCCCAGGACCAATAAAATGATAGGACCAAGCCTGTAAACATGGCATCATTTTGTATGTACAATAGTATGTTGACAAATTTTATTGTGGACCATGGTTTATGTAGTATCATGGACCATGAAGTATGTATCACTTTAATTACATTTCAGTTTCATTCGACAATATTGCTATGTTTTTTAGTTTCATTTTCCCTCCACACTAGTTTCATTATAGCAATACTAATAAAGTATCATTTTAATTCTAATATAGTTTCATTTGATAATATACATTATTGCTTGAAATTTATTTTTTTTTGTTTCATTTTCCACACACACAAATTTAATTTTAGTAATGTTGAAGTACTATTTTAATTGCCCTTCAGGTCATTTGACAATATATGTTATTATATGGTTCTGGATTTCAGTTTCATTTTTCATGCACACTAGTTTCATTACAGTAACTAGTAAATTACCTGTGCGATGCACGGATAAATTTTTTATTATATATTAAGATAATAAAATTAAATATAAAATTATAAACAATTTTAATATTTGAAAATGTACATTTATTTGATTATAAGATTATTGCAAAAGTATCATTCAATTAATTGAATAAAATATGATCTGTTTGTTTGTAATTATCTAGCAAAAATTGATATGTAATATGATTTATATAATTATTATTATTATTACTTAAATAAATATCAAAAAGGGAAATAATTTAATTGAAATCTATACTATATATAAAAACAAATTCTGAACTTTATTTTCCGCCAAATTCCTAAAATATCTCGCTTTCGAATAAAATATATTGTTTTCTACTTTCCTATCCGTACTATAATTTTAGGTTAAAATTCCTATTATAATATTATAAAATAGTTTAATACAAGTCCTAATAGAATATATTGTTTACTACTTTCCTATTCGTACTATAATTCTACATTAAAATTCCTATACATTCTTCCAAAGGATGCAGAGGCTAGACCGGTGCTCACTGCACACAAGGAGCCCCACCCCGACCCGATGTGGGCATTTGGGAGGTGCTCACTGCACGGATGCAGAAGCTAGACTGGTGCTCACTGCACACAAGGAGCCCCACCCCACCCCGGCCCGATGTGGGCATTTGGGAGGATGTAAAACTCACTGCACACAAGGAGCCCCACCCCAGCCCGATGTGGGCATTTGGGAGGTGCTCACTGCACGGATGCAGAAGCTAGACCGGTGCTCACTGCACACAAGGAGCCCCACCCCACCCCGGCCCGATGTGGGCATTTGGGAGGATGTAAAACTCACTGCACACAAGGAGCCCCACCCCAGCCCGATGTGGGCATTTGGGAGGTGCTCACCGCATGCACCCCCCACC